GGCGTGCCATGATGCCAGCCCCCAGCCCTGCCACATGTCCTCACACCCTGAAAGGGCAGGCAGAGCTGACAGAGGTGCCCAGTGCCACCTTCTGGTGCCAGGGAAATCCCAGCTTCTGCATGGGAACCGGGGTGCCACAGGGTCTGCCCTGCTGGGATCCTCCCCTGTTGTGTTTTGCTTTTAACACCCTGCAGGGATGAAATCACTAAATAAAGAGAATAAAAGCAGCTCGTGGCAAGCATAGCCATTTCAAAGCCTGAGACCCCAGTCTGGTAGCTCTGGTGGCTCTCAGGGGGCTCATTTCTGATCCCAGCAGCTGTCCCCGAGCACAAACAGGTTCTGTGCCCCCCAGCCCCCATGGCCTCATCCTCCCACGCAGTCCAAAGCAGCCCACGAGGTGTTCTTTACCCCCCTCAAGAGCCCAGTGTCAGTGAGTGATTCCCCAAGCAGCAGAGGCAAGGGGGGGCTGGCCCAGGGAATGGGGGCCCAGGGCTCTGCAGGTCCCCCCTGGCAGGACTGGTGGCCTCATCTCTAATCAAGCTAAAGGGGGCTCAGATGGGCTGTAGGTGCTGCTGGGGGGTGTGAGGGGTTGGTGGGTGCATTGGTGTCACCTGCACTGCATTCCCAGCTTTCACCTCCCTGGGATCCCCCTTCCCTTTATCAGCAGCCGGTGCCGTGGCAGGTCCTTACTGCTCTCTGGGTGCTGTTTTCTCTGTTTTCTCTGCTGTTTGTCCCACGGGAGCTGGTCACCAGTGTCAGATCTGCCGTGGGGGATGGACACCTCTCTTCCCTTCTCCAGGTTGCTGTCGGAGGAGAGGCCCGTGGCTGAGCTGTGGGGTAGGGAGCTGTGAGCCCGGGGTGTGCTGGGGGCAGGAGCGAGTGGGGGGACAGTGGCTGTGCTCTGCAGGCAGCCAGGCTGGGTGTGATTCCCCTTTTCCCTTGGAGTGTCCCCCTGGGAAAGCCTCCCCTTTGTTTCTGTGCGGGGGCAGCCTGTACACACCCAGACCGTGCCGTGTCCCCCAGGCTGCCAGCTGGGCACCGGCACCCGGAGCTGCGTGGTGAAGGAGGGCGATGACTTCTTGGAGCACCTGCTGCTGCTGAGAACGGTGAGATCCGAGCCCTGCCGAGGGGCTGCTGCAGCCCCGGCCGGCGGATCCCTGCCACGGGCTCTCTGCTCGGCCCCACAGATCTGCCTGGGGGCTGACGCCAGGGACGAGCTGCACGTGGTGGCTGTGGACTCCAAAAACGCCTCCGGGGAGCACAGGCCGGTGCCCATCGCGGCGCTGCGGAGCTCGGTGCTGCCCATGGTAAGGGCAGCCCCTGCCTCTGGGGTGACAACATCACCTCGGGCTGGGCTCGGCGGGGGGGAATGTCTCTGAGCTTTGTCTCTTTGCAGATCAGCCTCAAAGCTCTGGAGCTGGTCCCTCCCGTCACCTTCGTGCTCCAGTGTGGGGCTGGGCCAGTCTACCTCAGCGGGCAGCGCGTCACCCGTGAGTGTCACCGAGCTGTGGGGTCCCACGGCAGCTTTTGTGGCAGCTCGTGCTCCCTGCTTTGCCCCGGGGTTGCAGGGAGGGCTACTCAGGGGGCAGCTGGTGCTTGCTGGCAGTTGTGGGCTGGGCAAGGGGGTCTGTGCCAGTTTCCCTGCTCTGCTGCTGTGGGGTGGGAGGGTGTCTGTGTCACCACCCCTGGGGTGGGATTTTTCACCCCCCTCGGTGGGTCAGGGCCACCCCTGCTGCAGCCCTGTCTCCTCTCTCCCCAGTGGAAGATGATGCCAGCTCTGAAGCCGAGGAGGAAGAGCTCTTGGAGGAAGATGTGGGAGATGAGGAGGATGATGGAGAATCATAGAACAAGGGCAGCTCAGAGAGGTCTTAGTGAAGCTGGTGTGATGGTGGGGACACTCCTTGCCAGGAGCTGCCAGCGCCCTGTGCCAAAGGCAACAGATCCTTGCAGAGGGACACAAACTGTCTGGGCTTTGAGTGTCGTTCCTTGTCTCCTCTTCTGGCCCCCTCCATTCCTCCTATGTTTGCAGAAATGCTTTTCCCCCCCCCTTTTATTGTGATAATAATAGGAAGTGCAGATACCCTGGAGTCAGTCTGGACTGTGCTCTGGTGCTCCTGTGTCACCTGCTCTCCTGTCCCTCCCTCCCTGCCTCCTCTTGGGAAAACCTATTCCATGTGTGCCTCTGTGATGCTGGGCTGGGCAGAGGTCCCAGTGAGTAGCCCCTGGGGAGCTGTGGGCTGCTGCCGGGGCAGGGGGCTTGGGGCCTCTCCCAGCTCCAGCATGTCTGGAGGAGGAAGGCTGCACTGTGCTGTGGCTCTGCCTCCTCAGGTAGGACACAATGCCCTGCACGGCCCTGGCACCAGTTATCCTGCCAGCTCCCAGCTAATGGTCCTTTTGTTCCAGGAGGAATCTCTCTGGCATGCCTGTTGGGATCAACAGGACCGAGTCCTTCATGGCAGTGCAGGGAAATGCAGCTGCTGAAATAATGTCATTAGAACTCCTAATTGAGACAATTGCCCAAATCCATTCTATGCCTGTCACTAGCTGGCAGGGAGGCTGAGTTCAAGGGGAGCCCTGGACCTGCAGGAGGATGGGCTGGGAAGGGAGCATGTGGTTCTGGGTTTTGATTTTTCCCAACTTGTAATAGAAAATGCCAGAGCTGAGCTGAGGGAGCCAGAGCTGCCACCCCACCCAGCTGCGAGCCCTGTGCTGGATCCTGGGCTGTGGGACAGCACAGAGACCCTGTGGGAGCTGGTGGAGCCCCAGCAGCAGGAAGGGTGGGTGCTTTGGGGGGATGCCCTGGTCCCCCTTCCCACAGCCCCTGGCAGCAGCACGTCCACTCCATCCTGCCCAACAGAGTCTCCAGGAGGGCTTTGGCATAACCATGGCAACTGCCAGGTAATTAATGGCCAAGTCTCAATGCCATGGAGACCAAACAGGCACCAACTGAGTGCGTGGGGCTGCACCCCTGCCCACGGGGCCACTGAGCCCCCAGTGCAGGATGTGACCCCCAGGCACACGGTGTGGGGCTGGTGCTGTGCCCACCCAGGGCAGGGATGTCACCCCACCGTGAGGGTGGCACGTGGCAGCCACTGTCCTCCAGACATTCCCGGCCTCACCCCAAAGCCTGAAATGAGCTGGGTGAGACCCCGGGTACAGCTGTTTGTGCCTCCCCCTGCTTGGGGCTGGTCCCCTCAGCTCCCCCAGGCACAGCTCGGCCTCTCCTGCCTTTTTTGCACCAGCAAATTCCAATTAATAAATGCAGGAATGCCCTTTTGTGCATAAGTGACCAATTATTTGATGCATGAGCACCCCATCAGCTCACCCACGAGCACCCAATTAATCACGTGAGGGTTAAATAGTGAAACTTGAGCACTCCAATAAAGTCCTCGGGTGTCCAGTTGAGCCCCCTGTTATCCAAGCAAAGAAAGGGCAGGAGGAAGCATTTCCCTGAATACCTTTAAGATATTTACATTTTCCACTGCTTCAACACCCATACCATGATAGTTAACACAGTGATTGTTTTAATTGCAATAAATTAAAGTAAGTCAAACTTCCCCCAGTTGAGATGGGGGCTGAGGATGTGTCTTGGGGGAGGCTCCTGCGCACAGTAATTTATTTATGGGGGAATTTTTCCCTGCTGATGCTTGCCTGGCCAAGTCCCTCCCTGAGCAGAACAAAGAAGAGGGCTGGTTGGCTGTGTCACTTCGATTCAGCAGCAAACACTTGACCAGAGGGACTTTATTCCGAGTCTGCCTCCGAGTGCGTCTCAGGGATGAAGCAGACAGGGTATGAGGAAGTTGGTTTGAAAACCCAATTAATGCTAGTTTGGAGCGTGGAGCTTTTGAGGGGCTGCTGGGACATGTAATGAAAGTGTGGCTGGGGCAGCTCTCCATCTGAGGCTTCCAAAATCTGCCACGTGAGCTTCAGTCCTCTTGGATCAGGTACGTGAGGGCTTAAGGGTGAAACAATGTCTGGTACAGAGAGAAATAAACAGGGGGGTAAGTCCTGTGCTGGGAGAGAGCCGGAGATAATCTATGGAAATAGCCCAGGAAATGAGAGTTGAAGAGCAGCGGGTGATGAGATGACTCAGTGCAGGAGAGAAGGAGGGGCAGAGGGAGTGGGAGCAGCTGGGGGACGAGGGCTGTACTGGGCAGGGGTCCGGAGGTGAGTGGTGGTGGTGGTGAGGAAAGGTGCTGCCTGTGCTCCCAGCTGTCTGTGGGAAGCAGCCCAGGGTGGCAGGGACCTGTCTCCCAGGGCTGGTCTCATTTTTGACCTTGGCTTCCCTCCTTGCCCCTATCCCATCTCATCCCCTTCGTGGCTGAGGCCACGAAAACCTGGACCTCGCTTTTGGCAGGACCACGACGGGGTCTGTGAAACACCCCGGTGGAGAGTCCCAGCAGCCCCACAGGCTCGGTGCTGCGGGAGAGCCCAGCTCACCTGCTCGGGGCCGGGCGAGCGGCTGCAGGCGCACGAGGCAGCGCAGGAGTCGCAGAGCGCCTTTATTCACTTACCCATTAACATCCTTTGTCATTTCCAGAAACACGGGGAGCTGCTTTCTGGCTCAGCTGCTGCTTCCCCTTCCCTCTGGCCGGCAGATGCCCCTCGGTGCTGCCGGGTTGGGGCGGGGGCAGGATTGCTGCGGACGCTTCGGTTAAAGGGGTGTGGATGAGCCCGCATTTTGGTAAGTCCTTCCCCACAGCCCTGCTGCTTTTCTCCTTTTCCTCTCCCTCCCTGGTCTGTGATTGCTGTGACCCCGGGGCTGGCATCCCTCCTGCAGGGCTCCTCGTGGCAATGCTCCTTGTCTGAGTCCAGTTTTCCTTTTCCCTCCCCAGGAGCCCACGGGGTGAAGCCGCTCTCCCCAGGTGCCAGGCAGGGTCCTGTGCTGTGATGAGGAGCAGGACGTGCCCTGTGGACACCTGAACCCTACAGCTGTCAGATTTTGGAGTGCTGAGACGGGGGGTTCTCACCTGCCTGCACACAGAGGGGCTCAGCCACAGCCATGGAGGGGGACGAGGCCAACGTCACCACCTACGAGCTGGCCCTGCAGAACCGCTCCAACGCCAGCGCCCAGTTCACCGGGGTGCAGCTCATCCAGTCCTTCAAACCCCTCATCATCCCCTGCTACGCCCTGGTCGTCCTTGTCGGCATCTTCGGCAACTACCTGCTGCTCTACGTCATCTGCAGGAGCAAGAAGATGCACAACGTCACCAACTTCTTCATCGGGAACCTGGCGTTCTCCGACATGCTGATGTGTGCCACGTGCGTGCCCTTCACCCTGGCCTACGCCTTCAACACCCGGGGCTGGGTTTTTGGGAAGTTTTTGTGCTACTTTGTCTTCCTGATGCAGCCCATGACCGTCTACGTCTCTGTCTTCACGCTCACGGCCATCGCAGTTGACAGGTAAGTGCCGGTGGGTTTTTGTCCCCCCTTGTCCCCTCAGGTTGTTGCTCCCTCAGCTCAGGGTGTTTACTGACAAACACTCAAAACTGGAAAAGGAAAATCCCCGAGGATTCCCTGAGAGTATCCCTGAAGCCTTTTCTTTAGCTGCAGGGCTCAGTTTGGGGGAAGGATGTGCAGGGGGGACATTGGGCATTAGCAAACGATGCTGCACAGTTCCGTGTCCCTGTGTGAAGCCGTCACTACTGAAATCCCGATCCGTGCTCCCAGCACAAAGGCTCATTGGAGTTTGCACCCTGGTTTTCCTACTTTGGGTACATTTGTGCCCAGACCTCGTGCATACTGGCCCTGGGGTGGAGAGTGTTTGTGCCACATGAAGTGTGCTGAGTTGGGGGGTTAATGAAATTTGGGTTTCCATAGAGATCTCCTCTCATCAGAGGTGTTCCAAATGCTGAGGGGACAGAGGCAATGCCTCTTATGCTGGTTCACCTCTGCCTTGGGGGGAGCGGGTCAGGACCAGGAGGGGAAGGGGAAAAAATAAAAAAAAAAAGAAAAATAATAAAAAAAAGAAGGTTTGGGTGGAACAGCAGAGGAAGCCTGGAGTGCTGGTGGAGCCGTGCTGCCCTTGTGGGCTCAGAACATCCCCAGGAGTGCTGGTGTTCTGCTCTTCAGCAGAGCCCAGAGCACCCCGGGCTGGAGGGGGATGCTCTGGGGGGCTCCTGAGGGCTCGGACTCCCCGTGTGTCTCCTCACAGGTACTATGCCACCCTGCACCCCCTGAGGAGGCGCATCTCTGTCACCAGCTGTGTTTTGGTGGTGGGGGGCATCTGGCTGCTGTCCTGTGGGCTGGTGGCCCCCGCCGTGGCCCACACGTACCACGTGGAGTTCAGGCAGGAGGGATTCACCATCTGCGAGGAGTTCTGGGTGGAGAAGGAGACGCAGCGCCTGGCCTACGCCTACAGCACCCTGATCCTCACCTACATCCTGCCGCTCTCCGCCGTGTCCCTCTCCTACCTGTGCATCTCGGTGAGGCTGCGGAACCGGGTGGTGCCCGGACACCCCACGCAGAGCCAGGCCGAGTTCGACCGCCTGAGGAAGAGGAAGACCTTCCGCCTCATCGTGCTGGTGGTGTTGGCCTTCGGCGTCTGCTGGCTCCCCATCCACGTCTTCAACGTCCTCCGGGACATCGACATCCACCTCATCGACAAGCGCCACTTCCTGCTCATCCAGCTGCTGTGCCACTGGTGCGCCATGAGCTCCTCCTGCTGCAACCCCTTCCTCTACGCCTGGCTCCACCACCGCTTCCGCACCGAGCTCCGCAGGATCTTCTCCTGCAAGAGGAGGATCCGCCCCGCCAAGGGCTGTGGGGCTGCAGGTGGAGTGCTCTGAGCCCGGGGTCCCCCTGCCCGGACCCTCCACGGCAGAGCCTTCCCTGCTGCCGGGAGCAGGGGGGATGGGGTGAGGCGGGAGGAGGGAGCAAAGCTCTGTGCCCAGCCCCTCAGGACCCCTCCTGTCATTATTCCGTGTTAGCAAAGGGAAAGGGCTGTGGGAGCGTGGGAAGGGGGCATTAAATGAGTCCCAGGTTTTGGAAGTGGCATTTCTCCTGTGAGATTGACTTTTCGGAGCAAGCAGGTAAAGGGATGGAGCCGGTGCCAGCACAGGTTGGCCCGTTCAGCCTCACACACCCCTGCATGCGCTGGTACTCCACAGCCCCCCTCACCTGGACCCCTGGACACCCCTGTACTGACACCTGTACACACCTGTACACACCTACACACACCTGTACACGAAAATACCTGAGCGCACCTGCAACGTCACATGCATCCCTGCATCCCTGTACCGACACCTGCCCACACCTGTGCACACCTGCACACACCTGTACATCCATACACCTGGACACACAAATACC